GAGCGGTTTCAGTTCCCCGAGGGCGGGCGGCTGGTGGGCCCTCCCGCAGCCCCAGCAGAGCTGCAGGGAGCATCGAGAGGCGACCCCGGGTCCTGGGGAGCACGGCGCCCCAGGATGGTGTTGGGAAGGTGTGTCCCTTGGAGGCCTTGCCCGGAAAGCAACCCTCACCCTCAGTGTTAAGAACAAAAACAAGACCAAAACTAAGGGAGGAAGCCCAACAGAGTCCTGCAAACGTGGGATTACCTTTTTAACGACTGCTTCCACGTTTACAAAATTACGTAAAAACAAAATGTGTTGAAGTGCTAGCCCTGCCCAGTCGCCCTCGGAGAGGCCTGCGGTGCTCAGCCTGGGCGACAGGGCTCAGGGTTTCCCGGGGCGGTTGTTGCTGGGAGTCCAGTCCCTGGTCCTGGCACGCCAGCCCCCAGCCCCGTCCCCTTCCCCAGCAGCAGCGGGCAGCGGGCAGTGGGCTCACTTGAAGAAGTCGTCCTTGCAGTACACGCTCTCCCCGCGGCTGAAGCAGCGCTCAGCCAGTGGTGTGTGGCAGTCGCTGCACTTGAGACACTTGCTGTGCCAGTGGCGGTCCAGGGCCTTGAGGATGAAGCGGTCCAGGATATGCTGGTCACAGCCAGCGCACAGCGGGATCTCTGCAAGGCAGGGGGCGGGTCAGGGGTCAGGAGCGCCCCAGAATGGGAGGGAGTTGGGGTCACGCTTCCATCCTGGCCCTAGGACCCAAGACCCCCTTCCCTGCACGCTCTCTTACCAGCCGCCCCCGAGGGCAGGGAGCCCGCAGCCCAGCCTGCAGTTACAACTTAATGAAACTGAAATAGGTTTAGACGTGTGCCCATGAGCAAGCAGGTGCGCAGGCCAGTCCCTCAGGCCAGAAACTGTTCGTTACAAAATGGTCCCCCGAGCGAAGGGAGGTGCACACTGAGCTCGAAGGGAAACCTGCCCCAGGAGCACTCAGAGGCAGGGCTGGAAAAGAGTCCCCTCACCTGGGGGCCAGGCATGTGTGAGTCGCGGGCACCTACCACCCAGTCGCCCTCATTATTCTGCACAATTAAGCAACCTGGCAGAGAGAAAGAGACTCCTGTGCCGTCAGCCCCAAGACCCTGCCTGCAGCCACCAAGGTGAAAGCCGATGCCCTCCCATCTCTGGGCAGCTGCGGGTACTTGTGGGTGGACTGGACAAATGCTATCCCCATGCTCAAGCTAGGAAGCCTGAGCACACAGTAGGCGGTTTGCCCTCCCGCACAGCCATAGCCACTTCAACAGTAGGTTCCCTGGGACTGCAGGCCCCCAGAAATCAGGCAGGGGAACCCTGGGTCACAAGGGACTTTTCAGGGTGCTCATGGGTGAGGGTTCCCTGCTCCTTCAGGAAAGATCTCCGGGAGAGGAGAGAGCCGCGCACAGCAGCTGAACCCACACAAACACTGCATCCCCTCACCACGTTCACCTGGTTGCCCCGACCCCTCGGCTCCAGGCTGGGGGCAGAGAGGGGGGCGCCAGAGCCAAATCAACCTCCCTCCCGCAGCCGCGGGAACCTGCGAAGGACGCGGTCCCGCGTCGGGCAAAACCGCGCCCCAGGTGTGGAGC